TGCTACAATATGGGGTTCACCGGCATACGTGGTGATAAAAGTAAAGGTTCTGTTAAGAATGTTTTTTCAGGGATGGCGACAAATGTGCGGATGTTACCTGTCCAGGGACAATTTCATGGCAAAAGCTCGACCATTGCTACCGGAAGAAATTCGACGATTCGTTTGAAAAAGCGACGTGGTCTAGACAAATTGTATTTATTCACTTGCATAAATTCAAGAAAAATCGGAAATCACAGTGGAAGCATTGGAATAACACAATGTACAATATGTATTTCATAGAAGGCCACAGAAAAGGCTCCCTAAGAAGTGCATCATCTGAGAACTGATACCTAAACGAGAGTGATCCGATCTGATCAGAGCAGACGTCGTCGGCCGCGCGACCGCGCGCGACCGATCGACGTCAAACACCTCACAGACGGACCAAAACTATGAACTTGTTCTCGTCACCGAAGAACAGACACATGTGCGTGCTCTCTCGGAATCCTATAGAATACATCAGAACAAATGGCACAAATATAATAGAACTAGTAACAAATATGATATGTGTCGCTTTGTTATAAATAGAAATTTATTATATATAGATTTCAGAAACAATAATTTCGTAATAGGCACAACTGACTAGGAATCGATGAGCAAATTATTCTAGTGGCTTCTGAGAAAGACCCGTACCGGATTATTATACCTGACTCATCTGATTTTATATATGAACAAACAAAACACGATGAAGGAAAGATCTGAATGGAAACATGTATAGATGCAGCACTGATACTGTTCTACTGCCGTGAGGATCACACTAGTACGTCCCTAGGCTAAAGATCCCATTGGGAGACTCTCGCCCGATGATCGCTGACATCGCAGCGATCAGTTGTCCGCGGGGTTTTTGCGAGGGCGGGAGTCTTTGCGGACCGAATTCTGTCCTCGCAGGAAGCGATCCTTGTCGCGAAGTGACTGCCGTTGTGAGGACGGTTTCGAGCCGTCAGCGCCACCACCGCCGCCTTCGTCGTCAGAGACGTCCTTGTCGTGGACCCGATACTCCGGATTCGTCATATACCAGTGCAGCATCAAATCATATAAATACTTATATTCATCCTGAAAAATTGAGTATTTAACCAGCTGAACCGGGGTAATAGGCTCTAAATATTGAAATTATGTGGGCAGGCGGTCCAAGTGGCGCTGGGCGTCGAGGAGATGATAGACTCGCCAGTAAAGAAAAAGGGAAAAAAACGCCCGAATACTGAATAATAAGAGCGTTTCCGTCGTTAGAGGGACCTACGAGTGTACGCAAAATCTTGAGGCATTAGGCATCCAGGCGAACTGCTGGGACCAGGGTCGGTCTATGACGTTCGATATTTATTGCAAAATTTTTACGACCGATCTCCTTCATTGACAGATTCACACGACCCTCTTCACTCATTTATTTGTCCCGCTCGAAAAAACACCGTAGAAGGGCTGATATTTAGCCTACGACAAACCGCGCTCTCACCTCATCCACATATAATTTACGTACTACCGAGCAAGTACGACGCCCACGCCACCACGCCTTCTCACCAAAGTACGACCGCTCGTTGGTCCTTGGTTACCAACGTAGGGTTGACGTCCTGCAGGCTCGAGGTGAGAGAGCAGGGGGACATGCCCGAAACGCAGTGCGAGGCACTGCATCTGCAACGGTCTTAGACCCTCACTTCATTCAGCGAGCTGGTGCTATTATGTCAGAGCAGTACGCCGCGTCTCTAGAGCTCAGCGTTTTCGTTGCGAGATCCCTGCAGGACTAGGATACATCGCGCCCACGCTGGAAGATTCCGCAATCAGGAGAAATCAGTTATATAGAGGCTCTACTTCGGTGCTATGACACCGGCCCAATCGCTCAGGCGCTCTTCCCTTCAAGATTCTGAATCGCTTTGAGTGGACTAACTCCTAACACTAACTACGTCGTTCTACAGATACCTTAGCTGAACTAGGCCCGCAGAATGGACACTAGGAAGCACTCAAGATACTCGAGAATTGAAGGGGTGGAAGTTTTACCAACGGCGTAAACGTATTTTTGGAGAAAATAGTCGTATAAAAGCGCATAAACTGGAAAACAGCGCTGACAATGAGCCCGAACTTAACATTGTATAGCTCGGTGCGCTCCAATTTAGAAATCAGTAAAATTCAACATCTCGCTCTGAAAATCTCAAGGCCTCATTGATAAATAAATGACGTCTAGTTGAATCACCTTTGATCTTTTCAACGAATGCTAGAAGCATACAGTCCGCATAGAAGCATTCGAGAGATCAAATGCATTGCCCTGCTGCATGGGACGCAACTTCTAACAAGTCTTCGAAAAAGATGTCTCGGTACTAAAATAAGCGCCAACTCAATTCTGGCCGAGCTGTCAAAAAATCCAACTAAAAGGGCAGAATTCACGATAAGCGAAGGTCAAGAGGGGGAAATGAATTAAATTGGGAGCGGGCCGATTCCCTAAGGGTGCTGGACGACGTGAAATTGGCATAGCGAAAGCTTCGAACTGCCAATCTAAGCATTGGCCTCATTCTCTGGCGCGTTGGCGGGGGTCGCCCACTGACTCATCTGATCACTCGCCGTAGTTCAATACGTGGCGAGTGATTAGATAGCTGAGAGAGCGTAGTGTTGAAGAGGGCACAGCGATGAGAGTCGCATCAATGCTCGAATCAACGGGCAAGGAAAGGGGTCCCATTTCTCGGGTTCTGGGCCGTTTCTCATGGTTCTTCCTTCTTTCGTGTACCACTCACCATCCCTAGGTTAATTTGAAATGGGTTGCTTTTTCATCGTGAATTCGTCCTTTAATTCAGAATAATACGGTCCCAGAGAACAAAAAATGTCGATGGGGTGGGTTGAATTCGCCATTGGTTCCTTACACAAGTGGAATGTTCCGTATACCAATCACCCTTTTCCCATTGATGAGCACGTACACCACCTCACTTATTTTGGGCCCTGCCCCGACTTCCTATTGCTGACGCTGTCGTGAAATTTCGGACGAACCTTCATATCGATGAGCTGTGGTCGATTAATCCGCATCATTTTCACCGCATGGAACACATCAACTTCATGGTCCGTGTCCATCTGGTCGATACATATATTAGCTCCAATATATACTCCGACCCGAGAGACTCCATTGCTGCGAATCGAAAGTTTTATAGAAACTGCCGTAACGTTAAGAAGTTTCTGAAGGCGAAAACTAACTGTGACATTACTATCGTTGGTTTGCTTTCTGGCCGATCAGGAGCTCGTCGTCGCCAACTGCGCGCCATCTTGATGACGTCCATGAGACCTGTTGTGGACAATGGCACCTTGTTCTCAATGGGCCACATCCTTACCTGAAATTGCATTAAGAAAATTCAGGAAAAGCAGTTACACTGACGAAGCAAAACAAAAGAAACCAGCTTTTTTAATAAACATGCGCAATCTTACGCAAAAACGCGAGGGCTTGCCAAGGATCCCGGATTAGCATTCTGTCCCCCCAAATATGTCTTTTGGTAGGATTGCAGGGAGTGACTGAAGAAGAACGGTTGAGGATCGTTTAACCCATTCGCGACAATGGCAGCCACCGGTGGCTGACGCGAAGATGCTCACTTGGGACCATTTCATCCACCGGTTGCCCTCATGGAAAAAGTTTCAGCACCAATTGTTGATTTTTGCCACTTCACCTCACTTCAAGAAAGGGTCGCGAGGGACAATGATGGCCACCGGTAGCTGCCACTTTGCGATCGTCTCAAACAAAGCTCGTCCGAACGGGCAGATTGAAAATCCTGCGCGGTCGCGAATGGGTTAAAAATGTAGTTCTTAAGTAAGCAGAAGAACTACACCAAGTGTATAAGTCGTTTGTGACGTTTGTGGTGACCGATTCGCGTCAATGTGGTTCGTGGGACGTAATAGACCTTCGTTTTACTGTTTATCCATCTCATTTTTCTATTTTTCCAAGGGTACCAGTTATATGCTCGCTTTCTATTTTGAGATACTGCTACAGCTAACTCTTTTTGAGGACTTGGTTGTAGGATTGTCGAGTACGAACATTCTGCTAGAAGCTATCGCTCTTTTTCATTTCGAATTTGTCATGTTTTTTTTTACATTAGTTGTGAAAGGTGAGGCTGCGGTCATACCTTGGTATTG